AATTTTCGCATTAGGCTGTTTATTGATTAATTGATCAATTAATAGTAAATTCTTTTCGGTATCTGACCCTTCACACCCTAAAATCAGTACGCATATTCTCCATACTTTTCCCTACATTTCCTAAGGTGCTAACAAGGAGAACTTTTTTTAATAATCAAGAGCTTCTTTAGCTGGTGATCATTTCCTGACCTGGATGTGTGATGTAGAACATTTCAGTCCGAATGCGATTTAAAGTGATTCAAGCGGCAAATTTTATTTTATCTAGTTTTCAGGGTAATAATAATTTTAATATTTTATTTACGTATATTGCGCGTGTTACATATGCAGATGCTCAAACGCACAAGGTTATATTCTTATAGACATGTCGACTAGTTTTACGATCCTCATAGATATTTTTTTAATTCTAATTGTGATACTTTTAGGATCGATGGGCCACTAGTTCATCAATTCAAGGGTTCTAGTTGATCAAGATCCAAGACTTCTCCCACTCTCATCTTGACGTTCTGTTTGTGTTTCAGAGTTCCTTGTCACATTGTACACCTTTCTTCAGCAAGTGCCTTGCCCATGATCAGAAAGGCCCGTGAGGAAGGCGTTCCTCTCACCATAGAAACCACGCATCACTACCTGTCGCTCCAAGCTGAAAATGTGCCTGATGGTGCCACTCAATTTAAGTGCTGTCCGCCTGTAAGAGATGGCAAAAATCAAGTAAGTTTTCTTGTGTATTTAACAGGAAGCTGTGTAACACTCACGCGTGCATCGTTTCAAAAGCTGGAAATAAATTAAATAAGGAAAACACTGTTGGCTGGTTACAATTTCTTTATTTGTTTTTAATTTTTCCTAGGGAAGTCGAAAACTTAGCTTCGACCTCGCGTTCTCGATCCAATTCTCCCGACTTTTGTTCCAAATATCTTGTTAAGAATTAACGTAGATGGAACCGTTACAGTTGTTTTCCTTATTCCTCACAGGAAGCTTTATGGGATGCCCTTAAGTCACGTGACATTGACTTAGTCATTTCAGACCACTCTCCCTGTACTGAAGATCTTAAGCTGATGGACCGAGGGGATTTTCTGGCGGCCTGGGGAGGAATAGCAGGGGTACAGTATGGTGAGTGTTTCGAAGTTGCCTTCTTGGATAGGATCTAAGTTTTGGCGAGACGTGATTATATGAGAAAGAATCATTCCAGTTGCTTGGACGTATTGAACACAAGCTCCGAGTAATTAGAATGAGGAAATAGTGCACCAACCATAAAGTATAGTCTGGTTGACTCAGGCCAGGCTCGTTTGTAAGGTGAAATTTACAGGGCAAACAAGAAATATTAGGCGCCAGGTTATCATGGACGCCATGTTGTACCGTCAGTTTACACTCAAGACTGGTGCATCATGTTTGTTTACCTTCACGCTGTCCCTCCAAACGATCGCAAGAGCCTTTATGGTGGCAAACCGAACCCAGACCGCCGCTTGTTTAGAAAATGGCGAATTAAGAGAAAATGTCCTAGGCATTCCGCGAAGTTGGCTTCTGTAATCTGATGGCGCTGAATGACCCTTTTTTTCTTGTTCGTGTCAGATAGAATTTTTTTTTTTAATTGTGTGTGGCAATTATGTCTTCGAAGAAATAGGCTATCCTGCTGGACAATTTCTAAAAAGCACTCGCACAGGATTAACTCCCTGAACTGAGTTTGAAATAGGCGTTTGCTCTTAAACTAGGATAAATTCCACGTAAACATTTAGGGGGTTTCATTAAGGGCCGGGCACTGAGCAAATTGATCGGCTGTTAGGACGGATTTGCCCACCTGGTTTGACCATATAGAGGAAAGTTTATCTTATAAGAAGTTCAGTTCAAAAACTAGTTGCCCTTCTGCTGAAAAATAAAACCCCTGAAGATTGTTCATATAAATGAGAGGCATCATGTTAACTCGTTTTATTTCCTTTTTCAGGGTTATCCATATTTTGGTCGCATGCATGTAACCGAGGTTTTTCTCTTCCCGATGTTGCACGTATATTGTGCGAGGAACCCGCCAAGTTAAGTCGTTTGAGTCATCGGAAAGGAAAGATTGCTGTAGGCATGGATGCGGATTTTGTGCTTTGGGCTCCTGATGAACCAATTGTGGTAAGACTGTTTAACTGTACCATGTTTGTGTCTTCCGGTGTACATCTTTCCTTTCTTTTACGCACGCACCGTTTAGCTATGCCTCGAGCGGATGAAGCGATCAAGTGTCACTACCATAGCAGTCTTATTACGCATGCTGTGTGTACGTACTCCAACTGACCAATTGTACTCTAGCCAATTCCAACAAGTGTACGCAGCGTTTTAAAGGGTGTTTTACACCAAAGAATGTAGTGCGAGTTTGCAACGCACGAAGGAGAAAAATTGCAAAAGGTGTCACATAGTTTGATTTGGTTTCAAAAGGAATCTTGTTTCAGTGAAAGCTATACGTGGATCGTGGAAGTGATTTAATTCACATTTCATGTACCTCTTACTAACCGAACCAAGTTCGAGGTCGGCACTGTAAGTTACAGTCCGAGTTTTTTCTTTGCGCGGACATAAATCTGATTGGAAAAACGAGCTTTCGTAACTCACGGTACAGACCGAAAAAACGAGGTTTGTAAGATATATATTATATCTCTAGGTTCAAAAAGAGGAGGGTGGGTTCAATTCAAACAAACTTTTATATTAGGTGGGCCTTACAGTGAAATACACCCGCCAAATTGACCAATCATTGGGCACCCATTAACTGAAAGATATATCAATGAATCTATTTATATATTTCTTTTTTTTCAGATCGATCAGAAGATTACTCGACATAAAAACAAGGTAAAAAGGTTGGGTGATTGATCTTTAAACACTGGACAACGATTAAATCGCAATCTTATTTATTTATTTATTTATTTGTTAGTTAGTGTGTTTGTTTGTTTTGTTTTTTATGTGAAAACAATTGTGGTTTACCAAAGCACTGCTCATGCCGTAATCGATTTTTGCTTGGGCGGGGTGCACATTTTACAGCTCTTATTTATGGCTCGTGTCCAAATTTAAAAGGCTCTTAATGTTGTTGCAACTTTCCAAAATTAAAATTCTATCTAATAGAGAGGAAGACGAACTTTATTCTCATAATTTTCCCAAAGGCGAATCCCTCGTTACGAGATATCGCTTCCAAACCAGGTTATGCAAACGAGCACCTCTTACTATCAAGTGGAGAGTGTTAATTTTTTTCCGCGGAATGAGGGAGTGTGGTGGACAGGGGAGGTAGAGAGAGACGTGGTGGGCTTGCGGCTGGCGCACAGGAATCGGGATCGACAGGTTCATGTTTGAACTCGACCGGACTGTTACTCTTTAGCTCGACACCAGTTACTTTCACAGTGCCTCTCTCAAAACGGGCAACAATGGACTGCGGAGGAATAGGTACCAGAGAACTGCCAGGGAAACCTGGCGATGTGCAGGGGGGGTGGTTACCTGGCAATACTATAAGTTGTGTTATAGTGTGGACACCAGCTTGATCTCCGGCATAAACAAGCCGCTAAATCTTTCAGACTTCATCTGTTTTTTTTTTTGTTTGTTTTACTTTTTTTCGTTTTTATGTTTTAATTCTGACTTTTTTTGTTTTTTTATTAATTGGTAGGTAACTCCATATCACAACATGACATTACATGGAGTCGTTCACAAGACTATCCTGCGAGGAAATGTCGTGTACGAGCGGGACAGAGTCTGCGACAATCCAGCGGGTCAGCTGATATTAGAAACACCTAAATAAGGGCAAAGTTTAATCAAATAAGAAATATATGAATTAAAATAAGTTATCGAACTCGTTTTCGAATAGAAATATGAAAATGAATTACAATGTGTTTGTTTGTTTGTTTTTTTTTTTTGGTTCGTTGTCCCACGCCTGTGACAGCGATGAATAAAATTCCTCTTTTTTCCAAGATATAGTTTAAACTTTACCGTGACCTCACCTATCGTTATTAAAGCCCACGCAGCAAATCTTTGAGTGAGGGAAGTCAAAGACGAACGTATCAGCTTCAGCCAACAAGGCAGGGGGGTGGGAGTATGTTAAGCAGGATAAGTTTTTTTTTCAAAGAAGTGGGGTGGGCAAAGTCCCCCCCCCCCTTCCAGCCCCTCCCTCTGCGCGGTTCCTGGCCTTTCTGAACTGATAATAAGAAGAAACTCATTAATTCCATCGTCGTGTGTCACTCACCGGTTAGTTCAGAATTTCGTACGTAAGATCGTCGAAAAGTAAGTAACCAGTCATTAGCTCTCGCGTGGGGTCGGGCATGGGAGGAGTTTGGAGAGGTTCATATGGTCTTTAGGATGAAGGGAGAGGGGATCAGTCGTCCCTTACAGAGTTTAACAGGGAACTATAGCGAAATGACTGCCAATTGAACACTAACAGGTAATCTCGTAAAAGGGTTCAACCGTGTAACAAACGCTAGGCCGTGGAGGGTCTGGGCGAGAGACTCCTTCGGAGGTTCATGGGGATCTGGAATACCTCATTTAAATGACAAAGAAATTTTATTCCTTTCTTTGAAGGTCGAATACGCTTTGGAAAGATTTTTAGAAAGAAGCTAGACTTGGCCACACGTCATGGCCAATGCACTCGAGTCATAGACAAATGTTCGCGGAGTTGGTGACAGACCCTCAATAACGAATGATGGTGAGCGTACATTTCGAAAGGGGTCGTTGCGCGAACTCTTTGCAAATCTTTCAAACAAGTTTTTACCAGATCTTGCCATCTGAAACGAGCAATCCATGAGTACAAAACGAGTACAACTATGGAAACCGACGAGAACAGCACAACTTTGCCAGAAAACTTTGAAAAGAACAGTTAATGCGCTGACAACAGCAAGATAGTCTCGATCAGGTTGCACGTAGATGGGGTATAAAGATGAAGGACGCAAGTTTTTTTGTTTTTGTTTTTGTTTTTTTTTTTTGTCAAATGAATTTACTTTTACTTGGATAAAAGAACACCTTAAGAAAAGAAACTCCCCGAAATTATCAAGTGAAGAAATTATTTATCGGAGCTGGTATGAAACCTCCTGAGCTTTTATAACTATGTAGCTTTCAATTTCAGTCGCATTTGTAGAGAAAAGTCTGTTGTGTACATGTAGTTCAATCAGAAACCTCTCTGTAATTTTAGTCTGTGATAATTTAAAACAACGCTTCCGACGTTCCTGTTTAAGATGTTGACATTGCCTTAACATTAGGAGCTGCCTCAAAGCAGTATAGTTCACTCTCTTGTATCCATCTTCACCCGTCGCCACCGCCCACGGGTATTGTTTTTCCACTTCTTGAGCAATAACGCCATGATCTTGTCCTCTCTTACCCAGTTGCTCCGCAGCTTTTCTTGACCACCTCCAGCTGTAACCCTGGAGACCAATCTGCTTGAATTCTGAATACTGTAAGATTGTGATATTTTCCTTTAATCTGGAGTCGCTTAAGATACCGAACAGAACCGCGCCACCTAGGACACTTCCCAAAATATCCTTTCGACGTTTTGATGCAGTCTCGCGTTGCCTTTGAACTTCTTTTAATTGATTTAATCGTTCTTCCAGAATTTTCAATTGCTCCTCGGCTTTCACTCTCTCCGCGCGTTCTGCCTCGAGTCTCTTTCTCTTGTGAACTACTTCTTCCGATGCCTTGCTACTGATCCCAATTTCTTTCGGTCTCAATACTTCCTCGTCTAGAAGCCGTTGTGTTTCCCCGATTTTTTCTTTCAGAGCAACAGCCTCTGCTATTTGTCCACGGGTATGATCGATTTCCTCGGCCAAGAAGCATTTCTGAATAAACTGTTCCATTGCGTGATGTTTGGAACGTTGTATTTCATCTACTTCCTTTGCCAGCAGGGGCTCAATGACCTCTCGGAATCCTCGATTACACATATATGTTTCAAGGGCAGTGTATGTATTTGATACACCACTCCAAGGATTTCTGCTGATCGTAACGTGAAGTTTCCGGATGAGATCAGCCATCATTTTTCCATCGATTACTCCTCCACGAACATTTTTCTTGGAAGGAAACCTTTTAAAATCCGCCGCAAGGGACGAAGCTATAGTTTCATAAGTATCATCTTGCGAGTCACGCAATCGTTTTGAATCCTCCACGTGGGGTATGTTTCTGACCTTAATGCGGTCTCGAGGGAAAAATCTACCTATGGATTTTCCGATGTTACTTCTGTCGTTAACAATCATGTTCTGAATTTCACTTAGCAGAGTATTCCCTGGTGAGGGAGAGAGCGCATCGCGTAGAATCACCAATAATCCTGGATATGAATTGACATCGTGCACGTCATCTTCCCAGAACTGTTCGGTCAGCCGCGACACTCGATACAAAAACTTTATGTTGTAGCTACTGATTCTTTCCCTAGCAAACAGAGCTAGTCCAGAGGAAATAAGAAAAGAGAAAATATGAAAGGAATCGGTTATCTCGTTGTCCTTGAAATTAGTTCCTTCGGTGTCGATCAGAATAATGTTTCCACCGCGATTTTTCACGTCTGGCAGAACTGACATCCATACTCCACTGGTACACGGTATACTCTTTTCACAAGTTTTGAACACGCTCTGGACGTCAGCCGTTTTACTTCCATCCAAATAATGCCTGATCATGTTCAAGGTCGTAGATTTGCCAACATAAGCGTCGCCAATCACGCTGATAATTCTCAACGGACCTCGGAGAGCTTCAATTTCACCAACAGCTGAGTCATTCAGAATTAACATCTCGCTTTGATAATCGTACATCAACAGCGGTTTCGCTTTAAACGAGCTGTCCATACAAACTGCGATTGAAATATTGTAAACGAGTAGCAGAAATACTAGTTGGAGGTCTACGTTGAGAATCATAGTTAAGCTAAATATTCGAAGGAATATGGTTGAATGTTGTCACCTTGTGACGATTTCACCTTTGATCCCGCAGGAAGTTGGTTAAGAGTTTCGGTTCAATGCATTAGGTGGAAACCCCTTTTATAAAAAGTTTCTGGGAAAAACCCTGGTAGTTTTGCGGCTTTCATTTTGATCAATAGCTGCTTTTCAAAAGAGCTTAGTTCGGTAATGAAGATTTAGAGAATTGCACTCAGACAAAACTATGCCGCATTTGGGCAAATAAGCGAAGTGTACGAAACCAGCCGGGTAAGGTTCGGGCGAGTGAGTAAATAATTTATCGATCTTTCTTGAAAAATGCACTTCAGTACAGTATGATAGTATGTGATAATGTGAAAATTGGTTATTTCTGTTCCAAGCTCACACTTTAGGATAAACCCCAATATATTTTTAATTTAGGTTCTTTAATCTACTAGTCTGCTGTGTTCAGCTGGTACTTATCTCGCTTGCAAGATGTCAAAAAGAATGAATTTCCGTTTTTGAGTACACTTATTATATCATATATCATATTATAGAAAAATTCACTGCCTGACGAGTGAATTCCACGTTAAATTTCACGCGAAAAACCGATATCGCAC